AGGAGATGAGGATGAAGGTGGGCATTGGGCTTCCGTGCAAGGCCTGGTCTCCTGAAGGCCTAGAAAGACCATTCTGTGCAGGTAGAAAGACCATCCCATAGCTACCTATAAAACTTGATTTGATTTGATCCAAAAACCATGAGCGGTCCCAGCTCCCTGTGACCTACCCTAAGGTAAACTTACAGCTTTCCTGGTACCATCTCAGACCCTTGGCCTCCATTTCTGCCTATCTCTTTGATTCAGTGTTTCTTTGTAAACCAAAGAACAAGCTTCCCTCTGATTGTTTACTGATCTGATACCTCTTTATGCTCACAGCTCACATGGCTCCTGTCTGAGGCTGTTGGTGACCCAGCCCTTTGATCCCATCTGACCTCATCTCTCTGGCTTTCACCGTGCTTCTGACTTCCTGGTTCCTGCCCCTGCTGGCCACTTGCAGCCACCCTTCCAAGTGAAGGTCTCATGCACCGGCATCCTTGTATCAGTTGCCAGTCCTGTCCTCAGCACACATGCAGCACAATATTTTGTTAGAGAAGGTGGCAATCCAGAGGAAGTAGTCAGATTTTATTTCTGGTGGTGGCATCAGCAGCAGCTTAAGTCGGTCCTGACTATAGTTAACAGCACTGAAACTAACTCAGACAGTTCCAATGCTTTCTATTTTTACTGTTTCTATCTCTCTGACTACACTTGCCCCTCCTCATTTGTGCCATCAAGCTTTGCTGCTACCATTAAATTGTGTCTCAAATGGAAACTCTGATTCCAAGCTTAGTCAGACCTATCAATCATACCTTAAATGTCTCTGCTCCCATGGTTCTATAACAAAGCTTGAGCACTTGTGAAATAAACAGTGGAAGCGGGTRTGATAGCGCACACCTGTGATCCCAGTGAAGCTGAGGCAGGGAAGCTGAGGCAGGAGGATCACAAATTTGAGGATGGCCTCAGCAACTTAGTGAGATCCTGTCTCAAAATAAAAATAAAAAATAAAAATGGCTGAGGATGTAGCTCAAGGGTAAAGTGCCCCTGGGTTCAATCCCTGGTAAGAAAGAGAGGGGGAGAAGAAAAGGGCGAGGAAGAGGGAGAGTGAGAAGGAGAGGGAGAGGGAGGGGGCGGGGAGGAAATGTCTCCAGCACCACTGTCCTGCTTCCTGTCCTGCAAGGTTTTAAACTTTACATCCAACCTCTAGGCTAGAAATTCAGCCTAATCTTAGTTTCTAAGGAAAATTTTATTTCCAGGCACCTTGAGGTACTTAGATCAATAACTCTGCYTTCTATATATGCCTAGTTTTGTGGCCAGCTTTACTCTGAACTGGCTAATGGAATTGGAACAGTTGTAATAAAGCCCCTGCCTTGAAATTCCAGGCACTTTGATCCCCTTGCTTGGGTCCCCAATGCCAGGCCAGCCTGAGATCCCAGGATGTGAAGTCACTTATCCTGCAGGAGGGCCAGGGTGCTGTTGTTATATTCTTGTGAGCAGAGGTAAAAGGATCCCACCTGGGGTCTTGGCTTAGTTCTGGCTCAAGGCAGAGGGGGACCTTGGCTGGTAACCAAGGGGTGTTGACCAACCTTCACTGGGGGAGAAAGCCTGAGCTGCTGATCTGGAGTCCACCAGCTGCTGGGGCTATGCCCCTCCTCCTGCCAGGTTCTGAGAAGTCTCCTAATCAGGTTGGGCTTAGTCAGCAGAGAATAATATCTGTTCATAGGGCCAGAGAGATGGGGTCAGGAAAAAAACCCTCACGGGACTTTATTTCCTCAATTGTACAATGAGGAGGTTGGATCTGGTGCACTTCAATTTTATTTCTGGTTCTATGAACTYTCCAGAAGGCCTAGACCATACTGTAATCAGATTATTATAGCTAAAGGTATGTAAGAAACAAATTACATAATATGTGTAAAAGTACTCTGTGAAGCAATAAAGCCTTTTGTTTATGAGATTATAACTGCTATAAATTATCATAATTATCATACTGTCTCCCATGCTAYGAATCATTAAATCCTGTCACTTACATCTTGCATCCCCAATGTTCCTTTACATTGTCACAATGTTTCACCCACCACCATCTCAGTCATTGTCCACGTTAGCACCCTGTTTTTAAATATAGGTTTTGTTACTACTCAGATAAGTAAGGCCGACAGATGAAGATTCGGCTTCCTCTGAAAGAACAGTTTGTTACTCAGGAAGTTCGGTCCCCAGGAAGCCACCCAGGGCCACAAGGGGAAGCACCAGGCTTCAGGAGTCAGAGGAAGCAAGAGGAAGTTAAGGCAAAAGACTTTATTGTGGCCGGGTCGGGTGGCCTAAACTTGTAATCCCAGCAGCTCCGGAGGCTGAGGCAGGAGGATCAAATTCAAAGCCAGTCTCAGCAACTTATCAAGGATCAAGGCCCTAAGCAACTTAACTGTCTCAAATGAAAAAATTAAAAAGGGCTGGGAATGTGTCTCAATAGTTAAGCACCCCTAAGTTCAATTCCTGGTTCCAAAAAAAAAAAAAGTGTGGTTTTCACAGGAATCCAGTTCCAAGCTGCAGATTAGTGTCATTGTGATTGGCAAGAGAAAACAGATCGAAACAGATCAGAGAGAAGGACATGGAAAGCCACATAGTAAGTACTGACACATGACTTCATTTTGGATGTGAAGTATTAGCTCAAATACACAGACTTATGTAGAAGCAGGTATAGATACAGTCTAAACATATATAAAAATAAAGAATGAGAGCTGTGGTTGTGGCTCAGTAATAGAGAACTTGCCTACCATGTGTGAGATGCTGGGTTCGATTCTCAGAAACATAAATAAATAAGTATCCATTGACAACTAATAAAAATTTTAAAAATAAAGCATGAGAAATGTATTGCTAACAGTAGCTATCTTTGGGTCAGAAGATCACATATAATATCCAATTTCTTCTTTATCCTTTCTAAATATTTCTATAACTGGTGTATAATAATAGTTTGAAATTTGGAACCTTAAAAACTACTAATTTCTTCTCTTTAAATCAAGATATAATTCATGAAAAAATGACTGGGGACATCCTTAAGCCAGCAATGTCATAAATGACCTAGTGCATGTGACTGTCTACTCCAAAAAGTCCCTGAGTAGGAAGCTAAAAATAGARAGATCAGGGCGGGTGGTGGAGGGGGACTGGGGGATACAAAGCATCCTACCAAGAGGGCCATGAGCTAGGCAAACTTTAAGCACATGAGGGGATGGACTGGGGGGAAGGAACCTGGCTCAGAACTCTCTCTGGGGAATGCAGTCTGCATGAAGGAAAAGGGCTCACCTAGAGACCCAGCTTGGAAAGCCTTTGGGGATGGTGTGAAAGACTGGGAGCATTGTTGGGTGTATAAAGTTTCAGGGTAGGAAATGAATTCACTAAGTAGCTGTGTCATTCCCAAATCTCAGCCTATAAAGTCGACTTTTCTCTCTCAGAGTAAAATATGATTACTGATCATTTATAGCCACTTATGGCAACACAATTCTTTTTCCAAAGAATTCTATGTCCCCTCAGGTTTGTCCTGGTTTGGGCGCTTCTTGAACCAAAATAATTTTCCATTGAAGTCCCTTCGACCAAAAAAATATACAGTATTAGGACAAGTGATGTACCTCAGTATGAAGTACTTATATGTCCTGCTYAAGGCCCTGGGTTCAATCCCCAGCATCACAGAACAATGAAACAAATATCCAGTAATGCCAAAACTAGACAGGCCTTTGGAAATAATTTAACCAAGCACCCTTCTTGGTGCAAGGCACAGAGCTCCCTTTAGAGATAAAGGAACTGGGACCCAAGGGAATTAGGTTATTTGTCCAGGGTAGCTAAATGACAGAGTTCACCAGGACCCCTCTCTTTCTCTGTATATTTTTTCCCCATTATTCCTTGAAGTTCCCTGTTTAAAAAGAAAAAAAAATCTTCCTTTGCTAGGATATATCAATGACTGTCATTACATCTAGACAGAATAATATCATTACRTCTTGACTGAATAATACCACTTATTAAGGATTATATGTTCTTTTCATAAGCTGTCATTTAATAATCATAATAAGAAGGTATTCTTAGATTCTATTTTCAGGCAAAGAAGCTGAGCACCAAAGCAGTTAAATAAACCACCCAACATCCCCCTGTTAGTGGTAGCAGGATCAGGATTGGAACCTAGTTAATCTGAATCTACACTTACATTCTTGTCTCTGCATAAAGATAAATTAGTGGGACTGTCTTTGATAGGAGATGGTTCCTCAATAAATTGAGCATTCCCTTAAGGTTTTTAATTTCTTTTTAATATGCTCTGAAATTGTCTTTTCTTTGATTAAAATGGCAAATTTAAGCATTGAGACATTATATTAGAACTAAATTTCTACATTTTATTAAGAGAGTCCCTAAGTGGGGACTGGTGATATAGCTCAGTTGGTAGAGTGCTTGCCTTGCATGCACAAGACCCTGGGTTCAATCCCCAGCATCACAAACAAAAAAGATAGTCCCTAATTGTATCTAGATAGCCCCATAGAGTTACCAGGAAAAGAATTTTTACCCTGAGTTTGTTTTTATTTCACTTGAGTTTTACCCAGGGTAAATTTTTATCAAAAACTATGAAGGAGAAATCGTATACATTCCCTGTTTGTTTGTTTTGTTTTCCATTAACATGATAATCTTCACAAGTTTTTTGCTATGAAGTATCAACTCTGGCACTTGATTTAGTCGATAAAAAGCAAGGTGCCCTCCAATTCCTTACTACTCTTGGGGACAAAGATCACTTAGAGTTCATCCTGAAAAGCATCTAAATTTAGAGATTTGCTGCTGGAGCAAAACTTCCATGTACCAGTAATAGAACCAGGCAGGCCTTCCAAAGTATGTCAGGCATGTGCTTGCAATGCTGTCACAAGCAGGGTCAAGAGGCTCTGTCCCTGTGTACTGGTGACCTGGGAGGCCTGGCTCTTTTCTAGGCCATTTACAGAGTGTTCCGGAGCTGGAAGCACAGAGTCAGGCAATGATTTTTTAAAAACATTTAAAACAAATAGTAAGTGCTCATTTTGGCAGTATATATGCTAAATTGGAATGACACAGAGAAGATTAGAATAGTCATTGCACAAGCATGATGTGTAGACTCATGAAGCTTTCCACATTTTTATGCTGGAGAGGATGTGGAAAAAAAGGAACACTTTTACACTGTTGGTGGGATTGTAAAGTTAGTACAACAGCTATGGAAAGTAGCATGGAGGCTCTTCAAAAGATTAGCAGAGGAACTACCATATGACGCAGCTCTTCTACTCCTCAGTATTTATCCTAAGGAATTACAGTCATCGTACTCTGGAGATACATGACCCATGTTTGTAGCAGCACGATTCACAATAGCCAAACAATGGAACCAGATGAGATGTGTCCATCAACGGACATATAGAAAATATTTTATTCAGCCATAAAGAAAAATTAAATTACGTCATTTGCAGGAAAATGGATGGAACTTGAGAATATTAAGTGGAAAGCCAAATTCAGAATGTCAAGGGCCCTATGTTTTCTCTCATAGGTGGGAGTTAAAGAGGAAAAGGAAAAGGAAAAATGGGGGAAATCTCATGAAAATGGAAGGAAGATGAGCAGAGTAGAGGAAAGTGTGCCGGAGAGGGAGAAGAGGATGGAAAAGGGAAATACTGGAGAATGAGATTGACCAAACTATATTGTTATATTGTGTGTATATATGAATAGGTAACAACAAATTCCACCATTATGTGCAACTACAGTGCACCAATAAAAATATGAAAAAATAAAAATAAATCAATCAAATATTTAGGCGCTTGGGGCATAGCTCAGTGGTAAGAGTACCTACCTGGCATGTGCAAGGCTCTGGGCTCAAATCCCAGCACCACCTCAAAAATTTTAAAAATAAAACAAATATTTGAGTAGTGCATTCATGCACATAGTTTTTTGTTTGTTTGTTCTTTAATGTCAAACAAAAGATTCCTGAAAGAAACACAGCTCTCCTCAAACACTAAGTCTTCATCCCTTAATCAGGCAACCATGGTTCAAGCTCAGTGATGTGGCCTTTGTGGACATTTGAAGAGCAGAGGCAGACTGCTTTCCCATTCCTGATCTCTCTTCAGAGTATAGGACCCTGGTTGAGTGTTCGGAGGGCTGGCTTTGGTTTTTAGGTTCCTCAATCACTTCATTTCTTCAGACTTGTTTTTCAAATCTAATTTACATATCACAAATTAGAGTGATTCTTGAACCATCAGTGTGTGGAAACTGCCCTAAGGTCTGCACTAGAGCTTTGGAGAAGTTGCATTGTTCAAAGTGGATGCCCCAAACAGAGCCTCTTGTGAGCATAGCATCAGATGAGGTACTAAACTGAGAATTCTCAGGCTGGAGATTGTTGTTTCATCCATAACATGATTTCTTAAGAAACTATACAAGGTCTTTCAAGAACAGGAGAGGAAGTGTGCTATAGATATTCTTGAATGGCCTAGCCCCTTCCCTGCATATCTACTGCAGAATTCCTGGAACAGCAGCCCATCAAGTAATCAAAGGGAAGACACGTGGACAAAACAGACTCTCAGAAACTGCAGGCATTTGGAAGGAGAGAAGTGCCAGCCACAGCAGATCAAATCGGAGTCAGTACATGTCTCCTAAATGTCATGGGGTGGTGAGCCTTGGAGGCAAGAAACTAGAGATTAAATCACGGTCTGCTAGAGCCAGCAGCAGGAACTCAATATGGATTTGAAGCATCTGTGGGACATACCGCTAACCAGAGCCAAGAGCAGAAATGCAGTCATTTCTAGGACTGGCCTAACATTGCAGCCAGAGGCCACAAAAAGGAGAAGACTTTCTTCATAAATGTTCGAAGTTTAGAGGATTTCCCAGCAAGACATGTAAAACGTGCTGCTGGTGTCCCTTGGGGAATTCAGTGTACCTTGAGCAGTCAGAGCAAGAGTCATTTATGAAAAATCTTTTCCCCAAAATCCAACTTATTCTGAGACTGGAGGGACCACTTGGATTCTCACTAGGGGAAATGATTAAGGAAGAAGATTTGGAGGTAAAATCAGATGTTTTGAGCTGGGACTGGGGTCACCATGGGAGAAGGATTGTATGTGTGCCGTAGTCTCCTGAAGTCAGAGCCCAGGGCTCATGGTAATGACTACTGTTATGAGGTGTCCCTCTAAAGCTCCTGCTAATGCAGGAATATTTAGAGGTGAACTTATTAGATTGTGAGAGCTGTAACCCAATCAGTCTATGCTACTTTGATTGAACTGGCTGGATGATAACTGTAGGCAGGTGAGGCATGGCTAGAGGAGGTGGGTCATGTCCTGGAAAGGTGCATCTGTCCTGTGGCCCCTAGTCTCTCTCTTCTCTCTCACTCCTTTCCGATCTCACCACGAGCTAAGCAGTTTTCTTCTACTGGGCCCTTCCCCCTTGTTATGTTGCCTCACTTTAGGCCCAGAGCAAAAAATGTAGCCAGTTATCGATGGACAGAGACCTATTAATTCATGAGCCCCAAATAAACTTTTCCTCCTCTAAGTTGTTCTTGCTGGTATTTTGGTAACCACTCACCCTTATTTGTATCTAGTGTGGCATGTTTGGTCACAAACAAAATCCTAATGCCACCAAGGCACCCACCACCCAGCATTCATCTTCTTCAACCTTGAAGGATAGTTTCAGGAACAAAAAAAGGATTACCACTACCCCCACTCCATCCCACCCCCATGTGATAGAATGGCCTAGCTTTTGCTTCAGTTGTGAGGATGGATACCTTGTGACACAGTGCACCCATGAAGGAATAAGCTGTGGGAGCATTGAGGAAACTCACCTTCTAAGTGGCAGAAGATTTCCTTCTTTTCCCATATCTCAAAATGGAAATTTGTCAGCTGTATCTTCCCCCATTGAAATCTAATGCTCCAATGTCTAATCCCAAACTCAGCCTGGCTTTGTGGGGCCCATGACTTGCAGAGCTGGAGTAGGAGTAGGGGCAAATTAAACCTTTCCTGGGCTGGGACTGTAGCTCAGTGGTAGAGCACTTGCCTGGCATGATTGAGACCCTGGGATAAATCCCCAGCACAGCAAAAAACAAACAAATCAATTTTTCCTGGTAATCTAAATAGTCTAGGTGAGCCAGACCTTCAAAAGGGTTTGAAGGTGATTCATGTCTAACCTCACCAAAGAAGAAGGGAGGGAAGGGAGAGTTCTCAAGTTTGGAGAGTCTCAGGTGCCATGAGCAAACAGTGCATTGTATTTACTGTTCCCGTCACTCCACACTCTGAAGGGGTATTGTGTAACAGACTTGCTGGGATATTAAATGTTTCTGTGGAGGAAAACAGGATGGCAGCGTGACAGAGATAATTTGTCATTTATCATATTGTCTTCTGAAAAGCAGAACTCCCTTATTTGAAAGGTAATGAGTATAAAATGAAAATTACAGAAAAATAGATGGGAGGAGAGATGTCTCAGAGGAAGGTGACAGAAAATTCAGAAAGAGAAGAAACCCAAACAAGACCCCAGAGCCAGGGTGTCTGGTGGGACAGTGGAGGATCCGAGGGGAGGAAGCAGATTGTTATGGAGTTTTGCAGCATGAGATGTTGTCTAATTCTCTCTTCATAAAGCCTTCAGCAAAATCTCCTTTACTGATGCTTTTCAACCAGGATTTGCTGTGAAAGAGGAGCTCAAAGTACTAAGTTTATCAAAGGAAGTGCAAATGTCACATTCTTAAAGACTGGATTCTTAAAGAGAATCAGAAAGTTCTAAAGAAGAGGCGGCCCCAGAGATGGGCCTTATAGGATGCTCAACATTTCTGCTACAATTGCAGACAAGGGAGACTCCAAGGGCTGGAGGCCAAGAAGGGAGGATGGGAGGTCTGAAAGTACATGAAATGTCTAAGGAGAAGACCCTACTATTGTCTTCAGGGGAATAAGAGCAGGGTGGCAGAACTATGGATGCTTAGCCACCTTCAGATCTCAAGAGCAGTAGTGGATTTTATGGAAAGCAAAACTAGGACCACTGCGTGGGATTGGCAAGAAGACAGATTATGGCACAATATACTGTTATCTCTGAAAGAAGAAGAAATAGGACTGAAGAACCTCTGGCTCCCTCCAACTTCAGTTGTCTACCTCCTTCAAATGACCAGATAGACCTGGATTGAAAACACTGCACCAAGGAAAACACAATCTCACTCAGTTTCAGTAGATTTCCCTTGGACTTGACAGCTCTGCATCTGTTCCAGTTGAGGAAAAGTTTACTGCCCAACCATGCTCACTGATTTATGGAGTTAGTATAACCCCGAGGGCCCACCACCAATGCTGAAGTCACCCATATTCTGGCTGCCTGAGGAGCCCCACCCACCAGCAGGCCTCTACCTATATGCCAGGACTATCCTGCCTGCTGAGGATCCCTCTCTCCCTTCCTATCTCAGAGTTGTGAGTGATCACTCTTGCATTATTTTCCCCACAGTGTCTGAGGGCCTCAGGCCCACAACTGCATGTGGAGCCCAGGAGATCTGGAAGAGATTGTTATAATTGATTAAATAAATTAGTTGTTCTTTTCTTGTTAAGCTTTTATTTTAGGCCTGTCTAAATCCCCCTTATGATGGATGAGGATATGTATAGTTTTATGCCCCACAGTTTCTGGCACTTAATGTAGGATGTCATGGGCTGGGAATGCCATTCACTTTAGACACTTTGCTCAATCTAGAAGGTATGGTTAAGAAATCCTGGACTTCTGACAAAAGCCAGCCAAGGTAAGGATTCTTAACTACATCAGCCTCTCAGATCTCTGTGGGGACTGGTCAAGCCAGAATGGTAAGCAGTTTTATTTCAGGCCTAGCCAAGAACTCTAGGGAAGTAAAGAAAATCTTTCCTTCTCTAAAATAAGTACTCAACAAATATCAGACATTTTCATTTTTGATCATTTTAATGAGATACAAAAAAATAAAAAGACCTAAAAATACATCTTAAAGACCTGAATACCGACCTTCCATATTATTTTCACCTCTGGTCATTGAACACCTCTCCTTATTTAATATAGGTATTAATGAAGTGTATTCATGTAGTGTAGAAGAGAGATGACTTATAGTTTTGATTTGAGAAACCAAAACCTAGTTAAATGGTTTCAAAATCAGGAGGTTAAAAAAAAAGATTTGCAGAAACAAAAGAACAAAAATAATGCCTCTCAGAGAGAGTCTATCTACCCTGGAAAATACAGATTTGGGACAACTTTGTTCAGCTTGCATGCGCGTTCAAAATAAAAAAAAGTAGGCTAAGATTTGATACCAGTGGCATTAATAGATTTACAAAGAAAGGTAGTTTCTCTTACGCCTTCTAGTGACCAGGGTTTTAGTCCCTTTACCCTTCAGTCCCTCAGATTTTCCAATTATATATCAAAGAGTTAAATTAAAAGATCTTAAGTCTCATAGCTCTAAGCTGTAAGGTTCTGTGAATTCCTTGTGTGTGGGGAGGGGGGGGGTTTGTTTTTTGCTTTGTGCCTTGAAACCTGGAAAAGGCTTTGAGGGCAATAAACAGCTGCAGCAGTTTTCTCACCTAGGCTCTTTGCACGTGATGCATTTCCTTCACTAGTCTCTATCTAAAACAAAGTGTTTCAAGTCAGCAGCCCTCGCACTGACTGCGTCTTGCCACTCTGGGCACTTAGTACTCGCTTTATGGTAGAGACTCAGGTGGCCCCAGGGGGTCATCTGTGAGGGAAGGAGAACTACAACTCCCAGGGTTCCCCAGGTGGGGACGCCCATCCGATTGGCCAGGGGTCGGTGACGCTCAGTGTTTTGGCCCCAACGGTCACATGTTTCCTTTGTTGTGAGCTGCGGCCGAGACTGGTGTTTCGCGGAGACGCCGGCGCTGGAGAGTGCGTTGCGCCGCCGGCCGCTGAGGGACCGCAGGGCCCGCCGCTGCTGGCCTCTTCCAGCCTTCGCCGAGAGGTACCCGGGGATGACAGCTCCGGGACCTGCCGAAAGGCGAGGAATCGGCCAGAGCCTGGGACCTCGGGGCAGAGGGGCGGCCGAGGTCCTGGCCACCGGGTGTCACGGGTGGGAAGCTTGCGGCGGCCGGCCTCTCAGAGCCAGACTAGGGGTCTGCGGAGGAACTGCGGCTGGGCCTGCAGGGCCCTTTTCTGAGGCGAGGGGCCACCGAGGTGAACCTGGGGGGTCCCCAGCCCCGGCTGGATAGCGTCAACGCTGAGGGAGGGCACCCCCGCCTCCCGGCACTACCGGCCCGGAACTGCCGCGCGGCCTGCGGGGGCGGGGAGGGCAGCCGCGGCTGGGTCCCAGGTGCGGTCACTCCGCCGCCTCGGGGCTGAGCAGCTGGGGGCCGGGCCCTGCACGTAGCTGATGGGCTTCGAACGGGCGTTGCTTTTTTTTTTTTTTTTAAGCTCTGGAAGCAGTAAGTGCGACGGTCTCAAATCCAGCCTTCCCGTTTGGCAGGCGGGGGGGCCGTTGGTCCTATAGGGGAGAACTGACAGGATCAAGGTGGGGTACCCAGGGCTACGGGCCAAAGGAGCCCCGTTAAAACGATTGCGAAATGTGCTCGGCACTGTCACCTGACCGTTACCCCCGCCCCCGCCGCCCGCAAGCCTTTGTTTACCACGCTCGCGACCCGGCCCGCACCGGGAACCGGCCGTCCCCGGAGAGCCGGGCGGGCGGGGGAGCGGGCGTTCCGCGGGTGGAGTCCCCGCCTCCCCTCCCCACCTTCCCACCACTCCAAGCCTTGGCGTCTTAATTTAGTTCCCAGTGTCCCCGCCCCAAGTTCTCGATACCCAGGGCCAAGACTCTTAMGGCGGCCCGGATTGGCGCCTGCGGCGATTGTGGGTGGGACCCGGAGGCGAGTTCGAGTTTTTGTTGGCGATCGTCACGTCGCTAGGTGGGCCTGCCCTAGTCAGTTCTTCCCGCCCCCTTGAAGGTGATCTGGAGGACGCGCGGGAGCGCGCCCTGGCCGCTGTGGGGCCGGGCGGTGGGGGTGAGGGCGGCGCGCGCCCCCGTGCCGGCCGCCAGGGGCCTCAGTGGTGGCGCTGGCTTCTCGCGGTTTCTGTAGGCGGTTCTGGCCACGCAGCGGACTGCAGCTGCGTCCCGCCCACCCTGTAACTGCTGTCGCTTTATCTGCCGAGATGATGCAGAGGAAGTCCTGCGAATTTGTTCTTGCTTGTTCTGTAAACAGGGCTTAGATGGCTAAATACAGGGCACGTTTTGGGGGGCTTCGCGGTTACCCCTGAGGCAGTGACTATTCACAGTTGATTTAAGTGGATTTTAATGATTAATTGCTTTTGTTGGCAGCTTCATAAACACCATCTTAGTATTTGAAGCCACAGACCTTTTTAAATCCACCAGCTGGTTGATTTTTATTAGATTTGTAAAATAGATTTAAAATGTACACATTGTCTGTTAAGGCCGTAAATGGTTAGATTTAAAAGATTGCTTTTAAAAAATGATGGTTTGAGGATACGTCCCTGAAAATTAAAGATTCTTATATAACCCTGCTCAAATGAGTTATTTTCCTCCTTCGGGGGATTCTAGCTCACATCAGTGTTTGAGCTAATTCAGTTTTGAGAAGGGAATTGCAGATGTGTTTGAAAACTGTAAATTAAGATAAAAAATCTGGGAGGCCAGTTTTAACCATAGTGTATTAAAGGTGGTTTTTTTTTAATCTTTTGAGCAAATAGGGTACTTGGGTTTTAACAGATTTTCTTTTCTGTAAATCTGTAATAGTTCACCCAAGACTTAAATATATTTTTTAAAGAAGAAAGATAGAGCTTTCCTGGGTGAAGCAGGAATTGAATGTGAATCTTTCTTATTGGTTATACATTCTTAACATATTTTAAAAATTCAAGTAGAGATGGCTACATTGGAATGAGCAGCTGCTGTGATCCGAACTCCCTCATAAGTAGTGCATGGAAGGCATTTAATATATTTAAACAAGTACAAATGCAACTAACCTTTCTAAAAATTAAAGCCACCACTTGATAAAAACCTTTTTATTTAAACAAAGCCTTATGACTTAGTACCTGAACAGGAAGAAGAAATAGTATCCTGAGTTAGGGCTGTTGTCAACTTTATCTTAAACTTTCCTGTTTTTTGTCCAAGTTGTTAAAATTTTAACCCCACACACACACACACACACACACACACACACACCCTCCTGGATATTGAACCCAGGACCTCCCATGCTAGGTAAGCACTGTACCATAGAGCTACATCCCTAGCCCTTTTTATTTTAAGACAGAGTCTCTAATTGGAGCTAGCCTCCAACTTTTGATCCTCCTGCTTCAGCCTCCGGAATTGCAGAAGATACAGTGTGCCCATACTGAGCCAGGCTTAATATACTTTTTTTTTTTAATATTTATTTTTTAGTCATAGGTGAACACAGTATCTTTATTTTATTTTTATATGGTGCTGAGGATCAAACCCAGTGCCTCACGCATGGTAGGCAAGGGCTATATCTTTGAGCAACCCCAGCCCCTACTTTTTTTTTTTTTTTTAACTTCCTTGTTTTTCTGCCATTTCATGAAAACTCAAAGGTCAAGTCTTTGAAAAATAAACACTACAATATATCCCGTTAGTGATATCGGTTGTTTTTGTAAATACTTTCCTCTTATGTGAAAATTTAGGACCTCTTTTTTTTCAATAGTTATTTAAGTATGTTGTACAATGAAAAATGTGAGTAAAATTGAAGTATAAATATGAAAAATACAACCTATATGATTTTTTTCTTCTGTTATGACAACAAGAAAACATTATACAACAAATGTATGTTTTAAAATCCCTAGCCTTTCTGTCATGAAAAACATAATAAGCAAGGTGCCAGGGTGCATTCTTGTAGCCCTAGCTAATACACAGGCTGGGGTGGGAGGGTCACTTTAGCATAGGAAATCAAGAGCAGCCTAGGCAGCAGAGTCAGACCCTGGCTAAAAAAGGGGGTTGGGGGAAGGGACATGGAGGACTAGTGAGAGGAAAAAAAGAAATAAGACACAGAAGAAAAATCAATAGCTAAATTTTTTAAAGTGGAGTCTGCCTAAATCACCCAAGAGCTATAATCTTTCAGCATTTGGCACATCTTAATACTCAAATTTGTGTTTTAAAATGGCTAGGCTTTGCTCTTTACCGAGGTTTCTAAAGTTATTTCTTTTAATAATTTGTGTCACCACTAAGGTAAGTAAAAATCACTGTTTGGGGCTAGGGAAGTGGCTCAGTTAGAGCATTTGCCTGGCATTTGTGAGGCCATGGGTTAGATCCCCAACACTGGAAAAAAATAAAATCACTGATTTACAAGTCTGTCTCTGCTGCCTTTTATATATAAAAAAAACTCATTTAGCGTACTCAGATTTCTCAAATTTGTTCAAGTGACAGAGTTTCTGGTAACACCTTGCAGATTTAATTCTAATAAACAACAAAAAACAGTTTTGCTAAAGAAACCATAACTATGTCATATATATAGTTTTTCAACTTTGTGTGTGTGTAACTGGGGATTGAACCCAGGATGTTCTGCTACTGAACTACATCTTTAGCCCCTTTTATTTTATTTTGAAACAAGGTGTTGCTAAGTTGCCCGGGCTGGCTTCCAACTGCCTTAGCCTCCTGAATTGCTGAGATTACAGGTGTTCGCCACCATGACTGGTAGTTCTTTCAATTTTAAAATTAAAAAAAAAAAAAAGCATTTAATACTACATGTCAGCAGGATAAAACCAAATGACATTAAATTTTTGTGTCAGATCTAGTGAGAAACAAGAATAGGCCCAGCAGGTATAATGTCTGATGGTTCAACATTCTTTTTTTTTCCCCTTCCCTTCCTTTTAGGGGTTGGGAAGTATTCTCTAGTCAAGTTTTAAGACAGATGAACATGGTAGCACACATCTGTAATTCAAGTGGCTCCGAAGAGTGAGGCAAGAGGATCCCAAGTTGGAGGACAGCCTCAGCAATTTAGCAAGACCTCTCAGCAACTCAGTGAGATCCTGCCTCAAAATTAAAAAAAAAAAAAATATATATATATATATATATATATATATATATATATATATATATATAAAATTAATAAAGACTGGAGAAATAACTCAGTGGTAAAGAGCCAGTGCCCATAGGTTCATTCCCCAGTACACACACAMAAAAAAGAAAGTTTTAAGGCAAGGGAGAGAAACACTTGGGGGGGGGGGGATTCAGTTTTTTCCTTGTGCCTTTGAAGACGTATTCTTTTTAAATTATAGAATCATTGTTTAAGCTTCCTAAATTTTTCACCATCAGACACTTTTTAAATTTTTCTCTCACCAAAGTGTATTATTTATCTAAGATTCTAGTTGACATAAGATAATCACAAGTTATATATCTAGCAAAAAACTAAAGATTTTAGTTGGTTTCAGATGTATCTTAAAGGGCTAAATCTGGTCTTGGTGGTTCCTTTAAGAAACTGGAAATACTGAAAATTTCTTGAAAACTGGACTTTAAATATTGATTTTGTAAAACTTGCTTTAGGAATCACTTCTCCAGAATAATAACTTTAAATTGAAAGTTTAACAGCATATTTATAATTTTTAAAAAGTAGTCATCAGGCTAGGCACTGTGATGCATGCATGTAATCCCAGTGACTCAGGAAGCTGAAGCAGGAGGATTGCAAGTTTGAGGCCAGCCTCAGCAACATAGTGGGGCCCTGTCTCAAAATGTAGCTCAGTGATAAAGTACCCATGGGTTTAATCCCCCATGTCCCCCCCCCCCCCCCGCCAAAAAAAAAGTGGTCATCAAGAGCTGTAAGTAGCTTAATGGTAAAGCAAGTAGTTAGTCACCATATGTGAGTTCCTGGGTTTAATTCCCATCATTGAAAGAAAGAACAGTGGTCATCAAATAACTAAATTAGTTATGAGACACTAGAGTGAAAAAAAAATCTGAAGTTTAAAAAAACTGCTTGGTTTTATATAGTATGGCTTCTTTTGAATTACTGTATATTTTCAAAGATAAATCTCTTCTTGATATTTATCCTTTTTTTTTTTTTAAATCTTTATTTTGTTTGTTTTTATGTGGTGCTGAGGATCTAACCCAGTGCCTCACATGTGCAAGGCACGCGCTCTGCCACTGAGCCACAATCCCAGCCCGGTAGTTAACCTTTCTTGTTGCTGCTGTGTTGTTTTTCATCCGTGGTTAAATTTAAGAAAATGGAGTAGTATAGAGCATAGCATGTGGATTCACTACCACAAGTTGTAGGGGCTGTGCTAATCAGGATGTTGTTGGTTTCCTATGTTTTTTGGTAGTCTTTAGAAGGCCCTCATTAATCCATACTATCTCTATGGCTGATAGTAACTTCTTTGTTTAGAATTCCTTTATTCTACAGGAAAAAGAATCTTGTGCATTATAACAATATGATAGATCACTTTTGGTATTATATATTCCTTAAGACTGTACTCTGACCTACTCTGGCCCTTGGCCTTAGAAGGTCAGTATTACCTACAAGTCCTGCAGAAAATGTCCAGGTGAATTGCCTTGCCCTTTCTACTCTATAAGGTATCATTCTAGACTAGATGAGTCATGAGAAGGCTCTCTTCCAATTTGCACCTGTGTTGTCTGCTAGAGAAATGCTGAGAATTTGAATCTATTTTAGTATCTGTCTTGGAGTTCTTATTTGATTCTGGTCTTAGCCAGCCCTGCAAGGTCTGAAATTGGATCTGAATCCAACATTTGCAATCCCATTGCCAGGCACAGACTAGGGTATCTATAAATGTTTCTGGAATTCACCTGAATCTTTTGATTGACTCAGGATCTAATTGTCTACTTGGAAACACTTTTTTTTTTTTTTTTTTTTTTTAAGTAATTACTTGGAAATACTTAGCCCCTGTTTTGACCAAGTTACAATATTCTTTATCAGGGGTGCCTGTCAGACAGACTTGTGAAAATGAGGAAACACACAGGATAACACTCAGACTGGATAAAAAATGTGTATATATGTTTAAGAAAAAATCAGTTGATAGTTTATATTTGGTTTGAGGGTCAACTTTTGAATTTGCCTGAGCTTGTCTAGAATTTACGAGTTCTATTTATAAAAATCTGGGCCTGAAACCAGGGCCACTTGTATTTAAATACTCTTGCTATTCTGTGCACAGCTCAAATTTCTGATATTTTCTCTTTTAAGTATTCCTCACCTTCCCTTCCACCAAATAAATAAATAAATAAATAAAATCAGTGAATAAGTTGGTTGCTATAGGCATTATGTCTGTAAGGTTCAACAAAGCAGAAGAAATGCACATTTACATATCTCAAAAACAATTATTTAATAAACAGATTATATATTAAAATCTTAATTAAGGATTTTAAAATAGGTTTTTTTTCATGAATTCTTGAGCTTTTCTCATTGGTTTCATAGTACATAATATATAGTAGCTAAACTGTTTATGTCTGATAATATTGATAGACTGATATTTTTAATGGCACCAAACTCAGATGAACATCAATTTCCAGGTATTCCTCAAATATTCAAAGCACAATTATCACAGCATATGTAGTTTTTTCATCTCACTGCTACATTTAGCTTTCTGTTGCCTTGAATGTTTGTTTATTCATCTTTTACTCAAGAAATCTTATTGCAGGATAAAATTGTCAAGTAAGGAAGCTGATAAATAAGAAAACTAATCTGTGTATCAAAGAGCATAAAATTATTAATTTGGTTAAGGAAGTGTTTTTCTTATGACTTTCTATGAAAAAGTGAGCTTCCAGTTAGAAACTAAAATCTATTTCAACACATTAGTATATAATGATAATAACTGTACCTAAATAATTAATATTTGATTTATATGTATCTGTTCTCCATTTATTTTAGGTGTGGAAATTAAAACAACATAAATATTTTGACTGAGGGCTTTGATCAAACAAATGCTAAAAAGGTATATTTGTAATATTTATAAACTATCTAAACATTGTTATTAGAGAATTTAAGCTATTTTCCTTTCTTTAGCCAGGGATTTCTTATGCCAGTCAAAGTAACAAGGAGCAGTTCTCTCTATTAGATCATAAAGAAAGGCCATGTCACAATTATTTCTGTTGCTAAATATTTAGCCACTCCTTTCTGTTCTTTCCTGAGAGCCTCAGTTCTTCTGCGTTTTTCTTCAGTCTTGGAGATACCAAGATACATTATTTTCACTCATTTTTCTGGGACCTAGGCCAAATACATGTAATTTTATATTTACCTAGCAATCCGAAAGTAGGTCTGTCACATGAGTTCTACAGCTGAAAATAAATCCTAGAATGTCCTTAACCAGAATAATCTTAAGAAAGGCTATTCTTTTCAAATGAAGAGTGTAGCTCCAGGAATAAAACTCCTAAAACAAAAAAATGAGGGAAATAAAGAAGGAAATACTAGCTTTTCCTGATAAGTCTGGGAGTATCTTGACAGTCTGGTCACACTTGTGCCCACTAACATATCTATATACAACTTTCAGTCATTATTTTTCTTTGGAACAAATATGTTCCTACTGTTTTATTCAGAGATTCCTAATTACTTGCTTACTTTTTCCTGGTAAGAAATAATTATGTTTTGATATTTGCAAAGTTTTTAGAAGAATTCACTGTGTAATCTTCTGTTTTGTTTGATTAAGTATGAGTTCATTTAAAAATTTTTTTAATTGTTGATAGAACTTTATTTTTATTTATTTATATGTGGTGCTGAGACTCAAACCCAGTGCTTCACACATGCTAGGCAAGTGCTCTACCACTGAGTTATAACCTCAGCCCATGAGTTCATTTTTTATAAACCTGGAATCTATATTCAATACATACTTTGATACATGATTAAACTTTTGTTTTCCTTTTTAACCATTTCTGGTTAAAATTAAGTACTTTATTTGAATAAAGTGGAAAGGTTAATAAATTACACCTGGAAGCCCAAAAGATACATTTTGAAATACATCCACATTTCTAAGATGCTTCTGTGCAAATCCTTTACCTTGTCATAAATAGAGTTCTTATTTAGTGTTGTTTTGGAGACTGGTTAATGGAGAGTTCTTAGAAGTCCAGAGAAAGCAAAAATATCCCCCAAAATCATGAGATAGTAGGCCATAGTGGCTTGAATGGATCTATCTGGTCTATGAGATTGCCTATCTTATATACAAAGTAGTAAACAAGTATCTTATTGCCGTTAACCACTTTGTAATCAGGTGATTTTACATGTTCTAATACAGAATTCTCAGTTGGAGAGTAAGACCTCTTTTATCAGTCAATAAATCAAGGAATCATCTATGAGAATAAGGGACCAAAAATAGTAAAAAGACCCTTAACTCAAAGTTTTAATTAGTCTTATAGTAATACTTAATTCACTCAATATGTGCTTTTGTTAGCTTTTTTGCAACTGTGGCCAAATGACCTGCAAGAACAACATAGAGACAGAAAAGTTTATTTGGTTCTCAGGGTTTTAGAGATGGCCATCTCTATTGCTGTGGGCCCAGAAGGATGTGGCAGAGGAAAACAGCTCAGAATATGGCAACAAGGAATCAGAAAGCTCTGTTCACCAAAGGCATGCCCCCATGACCTACCTCCTCCAGCCATGCCCTGCCTGCCTTCAGTTAACACCCAGTTAATGCAGTCAAGTGGATTAATGCACTGATTCAGTTAAGGTTCATAACCCAGTCATTTTACCCCTAGACTTTCTTGCATTATCTCATACATGAGCTTTTGGGAGTCACCTCAGTCTAAACCATAACAATATATTGTCACCAAATTTTGATACAGTAAGGTCATCAGACAAAGCAGAATGTCATTTCACATTATTTATCCATGTTAGCCAAAGGGAAATTCTTACAATATACTAATTTGTTTTGATTTCAAACACATTTCATTGAAAGTTATAAAAAAAGAAAACTATAGAGAAAGAATGGTCAAAAAGTTTTTATTATTGTTAATACCAGTAATCATGCAGCACTAGTCACAGTCACAATAGCTTGTACAAATTGCTTAAACTTGAAATGTAATAAGAATTTAAATTAAATAGTATAAAGAGTAAGTTCTTGATTTAGACAGCTGACTTGTGGGTATTCAGTCATTATTTGAACTTATATTAGTAAAGCATTAAGATTGAAATATCAATTATATTCCATGTCACCACAGTTTATCATAATTGAAATGTTCCCCAGTTATCACTTGTGATATTACATACTTAAGTTTCAACAACAAAATTAACATTTAGGCACAGGGGGATAGATTTTGGTGTATAGAAGTATCACTGAAGATAACTTTAAATTAAGACCATAATTTATATATATTCTCCTGCTTAAGATGAAAAGTTCCCTATGAGAACTTGGAATTTGGAAGTGATTCTATGCACTGTACATGGATTTTTAAAAATTTTTATTCTTTTTAGATATTCATGACAGTAGAGTACATTTTTACACATTATACATACATAGAGTATAACTTATTCTAATTAGGATGCCATTCTTACGATTGTACATAATGTGGAGTGTCACTGGTGGCGTATTCATATATGAACATAGGAATGGTATGTCTGATTCATTCTGTCTTTCCTATTCCCATCCCTCCTTCCTTCCCATCATTCCCCTTTGTCTAATCCACTGAACTTCTATTCTTCCTTTCCCCTACTTAACTGTGTGTTAGCCTCTGCTTATCAGAAAATGTACATGGATTTTTAAGTTTTAAACCATGTATAAATGTATGTGCACATGAACATGCAAACATTTACATGGGCAACCATAACGCAACTAGTTAGATGACCTACAATGAGGCAAATACAAGCTCTGTATGTAATCAGTTAGTGATAATAAATTTTAAAACTAATCATAAGGTTAGGGGTGTAGCTCAGTGGTAAATGAGTACAAGACCCTGGGTTCAATCCCAAGCACCAAACAAACAAAGCAAATCATAAAATACTTTAAACTCAGATTATCTTTATTCATTTAGGTAATTTTCTCTGTCAAATGGGATAAAGACTAAAGTAAAATAATAATCTTTTCATATAGGATCACATTATTACGATTCAGAGGCAGGATGCTGGTATCTCAAAAGTCCTAAAATGACTGAAAAGTATAATGCTCTTTGGTCTCCTCTAAGAATTCTAGCAAAAAAAAAAAAAAAAAAAAAAAACAGGAAGTTCTTGGAAATTTACCAGGTTACACTTGATTAACAGTTAGGATCTGTGACCTAACAAGAATAATTTAGAGAAGGAAAAACTTACTTTAAGCTCATAGTTTCAAAGGTCTCAATTCATGGTCCGCTAAGTCCATCACTTTGGATCTGAGATGAGGCATAATATCCTAGCCGAAGGACCCAGTGGAGGAAAGCTGGTCAGCTCATGGCAGTCAGGAAGCAGAGAGAAGGAAAGATGCTAGGGAAAAAATATAAACCCCAAAGGTACATCCCCAGTAACCTACTTCCTCTAGCCACACTCTACCTGCCTACACAGTACAGTAGTCCTTTCCAACTATTAATCTATCAAATGATATAACCCACTGATTAGGTTATAACTTTCATAATCTCTTCATTTCACCTCTGAACATTCCTACATTAATAGGAGCTTGGCAGGGGAGGCATCTCATATACAAAGCATAACAGGAGCTAAGAATCTGATGCAAACACAGGTTTTATTTGATATATGAATTAAAAAACAAAACAGAAATGTGGAAAGAGAATAAAACAGGATACAGATGATAAATAACATGGAAAAAAAGAGAATATGTAATAGAACAAGTTATTCCTGATTTTGTTACTACATATTTACTTCTTTGTGCCACTTAAGAATTTTTCAAATGTGGTACAATTTAATACATAACAGTATACATAAAACACAGTCTTACATTAAGATTATTAACTCTCAAAGCTCAGTTTTATTTGCAGCTTATGAATATAGGATGGCATCTCATTTTTTTAGATTACCCACAATGTCCTTTAGGTACCTTCTTATTGCTACCATACTTAGGCCTGAATGTCTGATTGATGAGATATTTCAAGAAGTTGGAACTTTTAGAAGGGGTTGTGCATAAGATTGTGTGGCTATGGAACTAGATAAGCATTACTTCCAGTACTATTAACTCAATTAATAATACATTTTGAATCGTATCATTTTCTGGAGATGTGGAAAGAGAATAGGAGCAGAACTCCCTTAAAATTAGCATCATAGAGAACTGATGTCTGTAGCCAAGCGCCTAAATCCATTGGTTACTTATTCACAGTCATCTTTGGGAATCTGTGGGGTGTTTCTTATTAGCGAAAAGGGAGGATGGCCATGAATGTTTTAATTTTTTAAAACAAAGCACTACCTATTTATAGTGGAAATTTTGAGGAAAATAGAGAAGGTAAATAAATCACTTAATTTTTAGAAACAGATATGCCTCCTTTTCTATCCCTAGATGCATTACTATATAAATTTTTTATTAGCATATGTTTTGTGATCTACTTTTTCATTTACTATCTGGCTAATACCTCACCATGTCAATAAGTAGCCTATATACTTTAGAATGACTACATAGACTGTGTTCCATCTTTAAGATATTTTATGGTTTATAATCTAAAGTAGGGCTGTTAAGTTGTTTTAAGTATTTTCTATTAATATGGCATTGAACGTCTATAGATAAGACTTTCCATACAATCTTGTTTATTTCCTTAAGAGAGATTATTAGAAAGAGATGTGGGTCAGACAGTATATATATTTTTAAAGTCTGTTGATATATTTAGATAAAATTCTTATCCAGCAATGCTGTATTAAGATAATAACTATTTATATTAGGATCAAATTCTTCATCATTCTGACTTCTCTGCAATCTGTCAGTAGAATGAAACCCAACTGTAAAAAGAGAGACAGAAGGTTACTTATAATTGAAAAATACATAGTATCTTTTCAGCTAGGGAACTTCAAGACTACAAATTACCCCTAATGTTCTAATTAGGTAAATACAAATTTTTCTTTTATTAATGGTTGTTAAAATGAGATAGTCTCATATACCCTACGTGAAATTTATTAATCATGTGGTTTATATATTTACATCAAAATGAAATTATATAATTTGAATATTGAATTTTTTACATATTAAAATTCTTTCCTTTTTTTATTTTAGACACATAAAGAAGACCCCTATCAATCATTTCTCAACAATTATATAGTCAACTAATGTAACAATGGTACTAATATTGGGACGCAGACTAAACAGAGAGGATCTTGGGGTGCGTGATTCCCCAGCAACTAAGCGTAAAGTTTTTGAAATGGACCCTAAATCTCTGACAGGTCATGAGTTTTTTGACTTCTCTTCAGGATCATCCCATGCTGAAAACATACTCCAGATATTTAATGAGTTCCGAGACAGCCGCTTATTCACAGATGTTATCATCTGTGTGGAAGGAAAGGAGTTTCCTTGCCATAGAGCTGTTCTTTCAGCCTGTAGCAGCTACTTCAGAGCTATGTTTTGTAATGACCACAGGGAAAGCCGAGAAATGTTGGTTGAGATCAATGGTATTTTAGCTGAAGCCATGGAATGTTTTTTGCAGTATGTTTATACTGGAAAGGTGAAGATCACTACAGAGAACGTTCAATATCTCTTTGAAACCTCAAGCCTCTTTCAGATTAGTGTTCTCCGTGATGCATGTGCCAAGTTCTTGGAGGAGCAACTGGATCCTTGTAATTGCTTAGGAATTCAGCGCTTTGCTGACACCCATTCACTCAAAACACTCTTCACAAAATGTAAAACCTTTGCATTACAGACTTTTGAGGATGTGTCCCAGCATGAAGAATTTCTTGAGCTTGACAAAGATGAACTTATTGATTATATTTGTAGTGATGAACTTGTTATTGGTAAAGAGGAGATGGTTTTTGAAGCCGTCATGCGTTGGGTCTATCGTGCTGTTGATCTGAGAAGACCATTGTTACACGAGCTCCTGACACATGTGAGACTCCCTCTTTTGCATCCCAACTACTTTGTTCAAACAGTCGAGGTGGACCAATTGATCCAGAATTCTCCTGAGTGTTACCAGTTGTTGCATGAAGCAAGACGGTACCACATACTTGGGAATGAAATGATGTCCCCAAGGACTAGGCCACGCAGGTGAGAAGATTTTCAAATATAGATAATAAAATTTTTTAAAATAGTTTTAAATCTCCTGAATCCAAACTCAGTGTAGTCATTTATTTGTATAGTTTACATGCAGTTTTTGTACAGTTTAATATTTATTTTGAATTATGTAAATAATGAAAAGGAAGACTAGTGAAGACTGCATTCAACAATGCATTTTTAAAAATTTTTTTTGTAGTTGTAGATGGACAGAATGCCTTTATTTTATTTGTTTATTTTTATATGGTGCTGAAGATCGAACCCATTGCCTCACACATGCTGGACAAGCGCTCTGCCACTGAGCTACAGCCTCCACACAACAATGCATTTTTTTTTAATAATGTCCTGAGCTATCAGAGAGTGTTAAAAGGGTCTTTGCCACTGTGCTTGTCTCAACATATTACTACTAATTTCTCTTAACCTTTGTAAGACCTCAAACCTTTCCACTTTTCTTTCCAAGAGTTTTTGAATACAGAGTAGCTAAATGGTAGGCTCCCTTAAGACTGAACAAATTATGTTATGTAGGTGTATGAATTTGGCACAATGAGTCTACTGTTATATATAATCATAATGTACCAGTAAAAATAAATTGAAGAAACAATAAGCTTGCTTACTTAGACTGCCTCTACTTATTAAAAACAATTTGCACATCCACAGACTGACCTTTGTCCTCCAAGACTGAACATGGAATTTAGAGGTAAAGTAAGTAAACTGGTATGCAAAGTGAATTCACAGATGTAAAACTCAGATCTCCAACCTTTTATAAATGCCATAGTTACTATATTTAATGTCAGTCTCAATTTTTAATCTTTTTTCTGATATGAAATTATATCATCCTTTAGAACTTGTGCAATTTATTAGCATTGCACTGTATTTGTGTCTTCTTAGAAAAGGTTATTTCTTTAAAACACCTTTTGATTTTGATTGACAAAATATAGAAAAAATAAATTTTCATGCCTTATTAATAGAAAAAAATACTGTTAAACTTTATTATTAATAAGCAGAAAATACCTATTTTGAGAAGCATTCCAGAAGAGAAGTTTTTTAATATTTTTCTGACAAAGCTAACATTGCTGTTCAGGTTTTTTAACTGTAGTTAAAAAATAGCATAACGGTTATCATCTTACCTATTTTTAGTTGTACAGTTCAATATTATTAAGTATATGCACACTGTTGTGAAATTGGAATTTTTTCCAGCATCTCTTTTTTTTCTGTACATTTACTGCAGCATATAAAACCACATTTTTAACTTTCATTTTAAGTGCCATTGTTACTCATTATGTCATGAAATATTCTATTTTTTTTAAATCTAAGCTAGTTTGGATGTAGCAAGATTTCATCCATTTCCTCATATGTAAAGTATGGATAATAAATAGGGTTTACTTCACAGGATTTCAGATTGGAACTATTAAATTCAATAGTCCTTAGGCATCCAGCATATATGTAGAAAGTCCCTAATAATAACTAGCTACTATTATGTATGCGGTATTATATAGATCAATACTTGAAAGTCTAAATTTTTTATAATTAGATACAATATTGGGTAACTGGGGCTGGGGATGTGGCTCAAGCGGTAGCGCGCTCGCCTGGCATGCGTGCGGCCCGGGTTCGATCCTCAGCACCACATACCAACAAAGATGTTGTGTCCGCCTAAAACTAAAAAATAAATATTAAAAAATTCTCTCTAAAAAAAAAACAATATTGGGTAACTATTATAATACAAAATTAAGACCAGGTGCAGTGGCACACGCCTGTAATCCCAGCAGCGTGGGACCTTCCTGAGGCAGGAAGATCGCAAGTTCAAAGCCAGCCTCAGCAAAAATGAGGCGCTAAGCAACTCAGTGAGACACTATCCCTGGGGATGTGGCTCAGTGGTCTAGTGCCTGAGTTCAATCCCTGGTAACCCCCCCCCCCCAAAAAAAAAATTAATATAGTATTTCCTTATACCAGGATGAGCAACTGAATTTACTTAAAAGTCTAGAACATTTTATTCAAGTCTTTAGCAAAGCATAGAAAGCATACAATTTTATCCTATAATTACACTGATGTTTTAAAAAATATTTTTAGTTAATAGATGGGCTCAATACCTTTATTCTATTTATTTATTTATTTTTATGACGTGCTGAGGATTGAACTTGTTGTTTCACAAGTGATAGGCAAGAGCTCTACCACTGAGCTATAACCCCAGCCTGATTTTTTTTTTTTTTGTAAGTTAAATTTTTTTAAAGGACCATTAAAACACTTGGACTGATCTTAGGAATGTGGAAAGACCAAGTTTCCTGGATGTACTCATAAAGAAAAATAAACAGCCTGGGGCTGTGTGATTATTAGCTCTTCTGGGACTTTTCTGAACACATAGTATCACTCTAAGGGTAAAATCACTTTTTCAAGCAGAATTCCCTTATAGCAGACAGAATGTTCTGGGAGTCAAATGAGGTTGACTAGTACCCAGCCTGTATATTTTATAGTACCAGAGTAGGGACCAAGGGTAATCCGTTGTAAAATTCAAATAAGCCATTTATTGTATTATTTATAAAAATATAACCTGAATAGAATCAGATTGCTGAGTATAGGTAGCTTATCATTCCTTTAAAGAGAAAATTTTCCTAATCCACCTAATTATATGATTTCCAAAAATTTGTTTGGCATTTAATGTTTAAGAGAACCAATCCATTTTATACAGCAGAACACATCTATATGGAAGATTATAGCATCACCTTAGTTTAAGAAATGAATAAGAAAAAACAAGCTACAGTTATATTGAATTTGCAGGCCACTGTAAATATAATAGCAGATATTTATTTTATGTGGGCATTACATGAGGAATGGGGATTGAACTCAAGGGCACTCGACCATTCAGCCACATCCCAAGCCCTATTTTGTATTGTATTTACAGACAGGGTCTCACTGAGTTGCTTATTGCCTCATTTTTGCTGAGGCGGACTTTGAACTGGCCATCCTCCTATCTCAGCCTCCAGACCGCTGGGATTACAAGCATGCCCAACCCAGACCTTCTGCTTTTTTTTTTTTTTAAGATTTATTTTTTTAGGGCTGGGGATGTGGCTCGGGTGGCGGCACGCTCGCCTGGCATGCACGGGGTACTGGGTTCGATCCTCAACACCACATAGAAACAAAAAGTAGAGATATTATGTCCATCTAAAACTAAAGGATAAATATTTTTTTAGTTGTAGTTGGACACAGTATCTTTATTTTATTTATTTATTTAAGTGGTGCTGAGGATTAACCCAGGGCCTCACATGTTCTAGGCAAAGGCTCCCCGCTGAGCCACTACCCCAGTCCCAGATCTTCTGCTTTTTATTTGCAGGCCTCTTTTCAGTCCCTCTCCAACTTGATCTCTCTTTAGGATTTGACATTGTTAATTGCCTTTTCTATTGGCTCTTTTCATTGGCTTCTGGAATATCATTTTTCTCATAGTCCTCCGGTTTTCTCCAGCTGCTCTTACTTTATATCTAGTCTTGGAAGTACTGATTATCTGCTTGTTCATCTCTCTCTTACCTTATTTACTTCCCTGTGTGATCTCATTTATTCTCATGATTTCAATGCTGTTGACAACCAAACTTGTTATCTCTAACCCAGACTTTTTTATTTGTTCATTCACGTTTCTTTTGTTTGGATTTTAGATTTCTTTTATATGTTTTATTTATACACTTATTTTTAATTTTATTACTTGATTGTGTCTTTTAAAAAGATAGCATAGGCAAAATAGCAGGATTAAAATTAAACTTAACAGCTCATATTATCTCATGCCCAATCCATATTCAAATTTGAACTATTCTTTAATAAACTTGTATCCAATCCAGAATCACTCATTACATCTGGTTATTTCCAGGAAGTCTCTTTTATTTCCAAAACAGTTTCTTTTTCATGATTCTGAATTGTTGGAAAAAAATTGTCCATAAAAATATTCCCCTTTCTGGATTAATGTGGTTACTTCTTAAGGTATTTAATTCCTAGAAACTGAAATATGGTTCTACAAGCTTCAACTTGATGAATACTAATTAAATATTTGTGTACATAAGTATTTATATTAAACCACATTAGGAGCACAGTATATGCTGTTGTCCCATCATGAATGATGCAAAGATTTAACTCTGTGTTAGGGTGATGACAGTCTGCTCGCTCCACTGTATAGTTAACTTGTACTCCCCAAATTGGCCAGTGTTTTTTTTTTAGTGTTTGTCCTATGCCAAGTATTCTTCAGAGCTCAAGCCATACTGGGTATTCTACCTATTTACTCATGTGTTTTCAGATGACAAGAGAAAATCCTAGAGTACATTGTTTAAAAAGCAGTGTGACAGTAGTTTCCTAGAAAGAGGCAAATCTAAGAAGAGCACAAAGCTTTGATTTTCTGCCCTGCCAGTGGTAAATCCTTGTTTGCTTAGAGAGAAACTAATCACAGAAGGTAGTAAAACTTAGGAATAATTTGGATGTATTTCTTTTTTTTCTTCTTCTTCTTCTTTTTTTAGTTTTGATGGACACTGTACCTTTATTTTATTTATTTATTTTTCGTAGTACTGAGGATCGAACCCAGTGCCTCATACGTTTGAGGCAAGCTCTCTGCCACTGAGCCACCACCCCAGCCCCTAACTTGGTTGTATTTCTAATGATATATATTTTGCAACTGTAAATCTTTGTTTTGATATATTTTTCAGTGCTAGCATTATGATGTATTAAGAGTACAGGCTTCAGAATCAAACGGGCTTTAGAATCTCACTCTACACAACTAATAAATTCCATGACCATGGGCAAGGCACTAAAGTTATACTGTATATTTACAGAGTAGGAATATGGTTTAAGAGAGAAATGTTTGCTATCAAATAGTTTCTTTTTTAAACAAAATTTAAAAAATTTTTAGACTTAGCATCTGTTCCAATAGTTTTTTCAAAGCTTACTTTATAATTGTTCTAATTTAAGAACAAATTTTGTTACATATACATACTACCTTCCCATCTATCATTTCTAATAGTAATGGC